AAAACACAGGAATTAATGTTACATACCAATGCCATACCATGAACACTACTACACTAGTATACTTACTCGATCACGGCCCAAGTCAAGTTTAGCACCCCGGATTAGTATAGCACATATGCAAAAACACATTTGCGGGGTCCCAAACTATCCTTGATCTACCGCTATCATACTGCTATCTCATACCGCTAACTCAGCTCTCTCAGCTATCTCAGCTACCGCTGACAGCAACCGCTACAGCAACCGCTATCTCAGCTACCGCTAACTCATACCGCTATCTATTCAGACTCAATTCAGACTATTGAAATCAATGACAATCACAATGCCAATGGCAATTGAAACAATGAGACAATTGTTGCTTGAGCTTTGATGATAAAATTTTAAAATACAAAATCTGTCAAAGTAGGTACTGCCACTATGGCTGAGAGGGTTTATGTCCCACAGGGTACTGCCGGAACGTACCTTGGGTACGGTCCGGTATACCGAAACGTACCCTGGTACTATCTAATATGCCGGATGTACCTCGCCTACTCCACTAACGAGTCTAGGGAGTCACCTACGCCTACTCCCTAACCCTAACCATATCAAATAGTTACCAGGGTATGTTCCGGTATACCGGACCGTACTCAGGGTATGTTCCGGCAGTACCCTGGGGGACATAGACCCTATGAGCGCCACTATGTGGTTTACCGCCTCATTAATTTATGTTCAACTGTGAACTGATGCAATAATTTTAGGCCTAACGTGTATCACTGTAAATGTAACCTAGTACTAGTAGTAGTACTAGTACTAGTAGTGCTGATAGGGTCTATGTCTCCCTGGGTATTGCCGGAACGTACCCTGGGTACGGTCCGGTATACCGGAACAAACCCCGGTAACTATCTGATATGGTTAGGGTTAGGGTTAGGGTTAGGGTTAGGGAGTAGGTGTAGGCGGCTCCCTAGACTCGTTAGTGGAGTAGGCAAGGTACGGTCCGGCATATTAGATAGTACCAGCACTACCAGGGTACGTTCCGGCAGTACCCCGGGAGACATAGACCCTGGCAGCACTAGTAGTAGGCTAGTAAGGCTGAGAGGGTCTATGTCCCCCAGGGTACTGCCGGAACGTACCCTGGTACTATCTAATATGCCAGACCGTACCTCGCCTACTCCACTAACGAGTCTAGGGATCGAGTCTCCTACGCCTACTCCCTAACCCTAACCATACAAAATAGTTACCAGGGTACGTTCCGGCAGTACCCTAGGGGACATAGACCCTATGAGTATGAGTATGACTATGAGCGCTAGTAAGACTGAGAGGGCCTATGTCCCCCAGCTAGGGTACTGCCGGAACGTACCCTGGT